GTACCCTTAAAGGCGTGTATCTAAAGCAAATGTAATTGAGACAAGGACAGAGAAACCCAGACAGCCCGTCAGCAGCTTCCCCGTGTGACAAACCCAGGGGCAACTCCAGTGTGATCGGTGCGGCCGCCTGTTCTGCTTGCCAGAGAGCCAGATGCTGCTGCTTGGAAGGACCTCGTCCACAGCTTGTTGCCGGGCTCCTGTGATTGCTGTCCAAAGAGCAGCGGCGTGGCGTGCTGGGATGACTGGGATCCCAGCATCCCACTACAATTTCTCCCCTTCCCAATAATGTTATTTTAAATTAAGGATGTAAAAAAAAAATCAAATACAATTTTTATACCTCCTCTTGATGTAATAAGCATCTTAAAAGCACGATAAAAGCCATTCCAATGGAACAACAACAAAAAAAAATTACAAAATTGTGACGGTGGGAGCACCGCCCTCCACAAACTCCAAATGTCTGGGTTTATTCCTCTAACGGCTGAATGGTGAGATGAAACAAACCTTTTCCTTCTGATGACAGTAGTTAGAACATGACAAGCTATGTTGGTTAATTAACCAGTTAATGTAATAAACTCATCCTCAGACTGTAATGGCTATAACAAATAAGCGAGACCCTCTGCTGACTGCACGCCTCTCCCTTCAGTGGAACTATACTGATTTTTCCAGAGAATATTTTCAGTGTTTTAACTTGCTGGAAAATGTTTTGAGGATAGTTTGACCTTGCACATCCGTAACTAGAAAGCTCTGATTTCAGCTAATGTGAAGTGACTTTTTGGCACCACAGGGATTACGGATGAGGTCTGGTAATGCAGAGTTGAGTTCAAGAGTAAATATAACTCTCTCAAAGCAAACCTCTATCTCCTTTTCGAAGGGAATGCTTTGGGCGTATCAGGTCCGATTTTGCAGTAGATGTAGAGCAGGGCTGCTCCTCCGAGTACACAGGCAAGACAGGTGGATCAGGCTTGAGGTGCCCACAACTGCTCATCCATGGTCTCCCCACGCTCTTTTTTACAAACTACAGTGAGCTCAGCTACTCCTGTGACTAACACATTTTCCTTTGCTCAGTCCTGGTTTTATTTTTAAATTGAGCTGTATTTGTTGGGTGCTTGGATAAAGGAAAGAAGCGAAAAAAAAGCAAAGTCTGCTTGTGACGGAGACAAGCTTAATTCCATTTAAAACCATTTGCAACACAGAACTGAAATGAAAGTACAACATAAAACAAAATTACAGCATTCACTAGATTTTGCTGTTGTTGGGCTGCTACCTACACACTCAGTCCAGCAGCTTTCTAAGCAATCAAGTGGTGCCATGTTGCCTGATTTTAAATAAAACCCAAGATCCTCCTCCGTCATTATTTCCGCTGGATTTTATCCCTGTCATTGTTCAGCTCTAACAGTGCCTTTTGAAGTGCTGAACTCATTGTGAAAATGGCCGATGTTGAGCTCTACCTGTTGCCTATCTCCATGTTGTAGCCTGAGAGAAAAAAAAAAAAGAGGGAGAATACAGCTCCAGCTGGGTTAGGAGGATTTGGCCCTAAGAGTCTTTAAATGAAAGAAAGTGGTGAAAACTTCCAGTGTTTTTAGTTGGAACAAGTGTTGAGGTAGCTCTAAGAGAAGGCAGTGCTCATTTTTCACCTCCCTCTGCTTTGCAGGCAATGGGCGCTGTTTGTCAGACTGATTTCTTTGGTGCTTCAAGGTCTGTTCCCTGGGATGTGACTTTCTGGGGGGTCTCCTAAGCCAGGCTGGACTGAGCCAAGGTTTCCCAAACCTGCCTGAGGTTTCCTGAAATATCCAATCCTAAGGACTATTGCACCTAACTACTGGGTGTTGCACAGTGTCTCCTCATCCCGGCTGGGCTGGTGACCCCACAGCTGGTCCAGGCACGTGTGAAGATGAAGAAGGCAGGACAAGGACTGGGGACTGGCACAATATTCATAGTGTGCCATGCACTCGGTGAGTTTCATGGATGACCTGTACTAGCTGAGCTGGAGGTCTCTGGGCAAGTAAAAGCTATTTCTGCCCACAAGATGCCCAAGAGAGGATGTTAACATCATCTCTGCTACTACTGCTAGAAATCGAGTGGTAGGAGAGGACCTCCTTTGAGGCGCAGTGGCCTTGCATCAGTTTATAGATCTAGATCAGATAGGGATTGTTTAACCCAAGAGTTCAGGATTTTCTGTGTTGACAAGCCTTTGCATTTGTGGATTAGTAATTGCTTCTGCAATTGTCATATCTGAGAAGCAAACTAACTGCAAGGGGCAGAAGCTATAGGGAAATACGGATGGCATTTTATACTACGTTTACCAAGTCCATTAGATGGGATGCTGGCTGTAGCTTTTCTGGCCAAAGTGTTCAGTAAGGCATTCGTTCAACCTGGCACCAGTCCGTGTTTCTTAATGTAGCATCTACCAGCTGTACATATTTCTTGGGTTTAAGGTGTTGGATTACATCACCACCCCTTTAATTTCCATTCTCAGGGGAGTATTTTAATCGCTCATACTCCTGATTAGTCAGTGCAAAAGCATGAGGAATGGGAGCTGTGACCTGAAGGGGGAAGGAGAGATGCAAACACCAGTGTTGCACAAGACACAGCTTGCTCATTTATATTTATGTACGATTCAGATGTGGAGTAAGACTACTACATTTAAAAGGAAATGTACTTTTAATAAGGGTCTTCACTTATAGCTGTTTTGATATAACCTTCACATTACCCACTGCATTTTCCTTACACTATGCTGGCTTTATGGTCTGCTGACTCACAGACATGTATCTTCTTCATTAATTAAAAAAAAAAGTGATTGCTTTATAGCGATCTTTCTATGTATATAAAATGAATGCTATTTCCATTTGCTTTCGTATTTTTTATACATAGTACAAAACCACTGCTGTCATTAGTTTAATATGGAGAGCCTCTTACAACGGTCCAAGCATCATCTGCTTTATTAGTGCCTGCTTGATAAAGCTTCCACATTCTACAGTTAGTTTGCTTCTGAGCATGCTAAGACTTTACAATATGCACTGAGATTTTGATAAAATCTCATCAAAGCCTGCTAAAAGATCTCCTTTATCTATTTTGATTGGCTTGATTACATTGATTAATGAAACACTGGAGGATTTTATGTGATGAGATTAAATAATGCAATTAGTTTTAATAATTTTTCTAAAAACTAGAATTAGGTAGGAACAAAAGGGAAAAAAGAGAGCAATGTTCTGTGTACAGTGTTCATAATAAGTCATAATTCTTTGCTTTAACCCTTGGAATGGTGGCATTTTACAGATTTCAGATGCAGGAATGCTCAGGAGGAAATGTGAGGAAGTTAATATGGGGGTGAATCTTAACTCTGTGGTATTTTACAGGCTGTCACTCATGCCAGTGCTAGGAAGGAGTCCTTGCTGGCACACTGAAGGCAGGCCCTTATCTGACCCCATCATTTTTCCCCAGTACCACCGATGTGTCTTAGTCCAAGACGAAATGTTTGTGGAAATTAGAAAATTAAAATGAGTATAGTCATTGTCCCAACTACTGAAAGCTAATGGCAAGCAGGTTCACAACCAATGTAAGAGGAGCCCAAAAAGACAATATTGTTTTTCTTCTACCGACCGTTCTTCAGTTGCTGCTCAGTTTGTTTGTTTACAAACTGCCACCTCTCCTAGGACACCACGTGGGGACCTTCCTGGGAGGATTTCTATCCCACATGGGCTTTGGGAGAGGCACTAGAGTGTCCTACTTGCACATTTACCTTCTACTTCAGGGTCAAGTCTGCTGAATTCTACTCCTGGATCTGCCCTGGACTCTCTAGTCAGTCCTGAGCAAATCCTATAGACCTGGAATCAGGTACCCCCATGGGTACCCGTATCTAAGATGAACATAGCTGCATGTTGTCGAGATGATGAGGAACAGCTCAGCCCCACGTTATCCATGGCTGCCAGTCCTTAGTTCTCAGTGCAACGAATGGGCAGGTGAAGTGACAGTTTTAAAAATATCCTTACAGTGGCCTGTCTGGGAAGACTCCCCAAGTCCTCTGCGTTCCCTGTGTTGGAAGTCAAGAGCTGGTCTGAATTGCTTAACACTGTCCTGAACTTAAATGCTGCTGCAGGTGCTTATGTCAGCTCTAAGCGTTAGCATAGGAGGTCTAAATAGGGCTTCCCTTTCCTTTGTTTTTCATTTGCCTTGGCTATAGTGTAGCTAGGCTAACGTTCACGTGCCATTTGGGGGTTCAGTGATGTCTAATTGTCATTTTTAATTCATCCTGGAGACCTTGCAGGGAAGTGGCAATACAAATGCAGAGTCTCGGCGCCGGAGATTGAGGTCTTACCGGCGTTTTCTACACCTAGAATATAAATTCTAATTGCCATTTATTTTTCTTCTCATCTGTGTATATCTCTATATCTTGTTTACTGTCACTCTGCACTAAGCTGTTACTTCAAAGCATTTGCCTTGTATAATCACAATCAGTAAACTGCATAACAGCTGTGTTAAATACACTGCCTCTTCCCTTATAGTATCATTCCTGGGAAGAAACGGCAAGCAGAAGCTGTGCATTTTGAATCCAGATCTGATTTCACAGATAGCAGGCAGCTGAAGTATGTACACTCAGGGTTTAGAGAGGTTTGGGACTACATTTTTTTATTTGGGATCACCTTTGTTAGGAAGCAAGTCCTCAATGAATCCGTGCCTTTGGCAGAGTTTAATGCCTCTTGGTAAACTTGTCTTTGTAAATATTGGGTGCCGGGTGATGTGCGGACCAGATAAGGTGGACCTGTGATAGATGTTTGGGAAAGACCCTGATTGCTTGGAACAAAGTTCCCGGTTCAATCACTTATTTTGCTTGTTTCTGTCTTCATTCATCCTTGCAGCTCATCCTTGTACCTCTCCACTCAGCGGGTCATGGAGAAGTTGCATCATCCATGTGCTCCATGGTTGGATCCATGGCTCAGACAGTGAAAGAAAGAACATGCTGGTTGAACCTAAGCAGGATCCCCTTTTATATCCTTTTGAACACCTTTTATTTTCCAGTTCATAGGCTGATTCTGGATGCTTTAGCAGGGAAGGCATGAAATCTTGGGTTTTCTTCTGGCTTTGCTACCGGACCATCGTGTGGCCTTGGGTACATTCCCATCCTACCCTTTGAGTGCTTTGATCTGTCACACTTTAAACTCCCCATAGTACGGACTGTTTCCTACATTGTGTTTGTATCATACTCAGCTCAGTGGGGTCCTGATACGATTGGAAATTTAATATGGCATCAATATTTTATCTCCAGTCACTACACTATGCACCAACTCAGTTTACTCCTTTACTGCTAGTAGCCCAAATACATGTATGAGTCAAAGCCCAGACTGCTCAAGCTGAGATAAGCTAATTACCCTATTAAAACAGGTATCTAGATGATCTGTTCTGAGGGAAATGTTGGGCCTTTGTTGTAAGGGCTGGCAGCGAGGAGCTGAGAGTGCATGTAGGGTGTGCAGAGTAGCATCTGTGTGTCGTGTGGACTGGCCAGAAAAAATACTCAAGGTCTCCCTTTGCCTACTGTTACAGGTCTGGGGAAAAAAAAGAAACAGGACTCAGGTGGAGAATGAATGCTTTGAAGAGGTTTCCACCCCATAACCTAAGTCATGGTCCCTGCCTGCACACCAGCCTTCTCCACAATACAGATCCTACAGCCTGCAGATGCTTGGGCCAAATGCTCCTACCTGTGTGCACGCCTCTTTGGGTTTGCTGTCGCATTGACAACACTGACTATTCATGGAAAAGTGTGGATTCAGACACAAGGAGGCAGATACCAAAACCACAATAGGTAAATAAGAAGGTGAAAATTATGTGGTGCTTTTTTTTTCTTTTTTTTTTTTTTCCCACAAGCAAAAGTTCCCTTAGCATCTGAAAATTTGCCTGTGTACCGCAGAAAATACCATTTGCAGACTGCTAGAACAGGCTGAGATCAGACTCTGTAAGTGTCGTCCCTTTAGGGCTGTCAAGGAAGTAAAATATTCATCCCCTGAGGCTCTGCCATGGAGCAAATATATTAACTAACAAAAATAAATGATATTCTTTCTAATAAAATATTCAATTGCTTGTTTGTTCTAACAAATATAAGAAATGGAGGTTTAATCAAGGAAAACAAGACTTTACATCAGACCACAAGGTATTCTTGGCTAGAAGTCTGCTAATATGCTTGAATAATTCTGGTAATAGTAAAACTGAGCCATCCAGAGAGGGTAGCTCTTACATTGATTTAGAGTGACAGGATTTGGGGAGACAAAGGAGTAGCCAAATTAGCTCTGAAAAATTATCATTTATGAAAGTTTTGCTAATGTCTCATCTTGAAGCCTGATATGATATGTTTCAGGTTTCTGCTCTGTTTATTTGCTTGTTTGGAAAAGCAGACATGGTAATAAATTGGCAAATAGTCAAAGTAGAGAGGGGACTTTGAGGGTCTGGGAGTTCTCCTGGTGATTCCTGTCTAGGAGAGCAATTTCCCTCCTTCCATGTATCAGTGCTTCACATTTTCCTCACCACACAGAATTTATTTTATCCAGACAGATTAGCACAGACTCTCAGATTGATAATTGGCACATATAGATATGAACTCCCTCTGTCTTTCCCCCCCAAACCCCAATCCCCACGTCTTCCCTCTGCCAAACCCTGCATTGTTTCAGCCTACTGCTCAAACAGACTGTAAACCCTCCACCAAAGTTTTCGTGAATAACATTGCGATCTTTGGAACAAATCCAGAGCCAGTTTGAAGATAATAGGAACACTGAGTACTAAATATCACACTGACAGAAGACATGACACCATGCTGGCAGAAGACATGTGTGCATGACTTTTATAGTAACCAGGGCACTCATTGCTTGGTAGTCAGAGGACAGCTAAGTAAACTGTTGGAAAAAAAAAAAAAAAAAAAGGCAATTTTTAATATCTCATGACTTTAGCTGGAGAAGATCATGTGTATTACAGGAGAGACTTGGTGCCATTTGCAAATGGCCTTCTGTATAGAGACCCTCTGGAGCTGGGTCTCCTGGGTATTTGATATTGAGGAATCACGTGGAAGTTCTTTATATACATATTGGGTAGGAATTTCTAATAACAGGATCAGGTCTGAAAGTTACCACTGATGGTATGTAAAGGCAACTGATAGGTTTCAGAGTCATCACATAATGGAAGGAAAACAGGGGCATCTCCATCCCTTAAAGTTATTTAAAATAACTTCTTTCCCCCTAATTGCTAGTCTTTAACATGTAGTCTAAGTACTTCTGCATGTCCCACTTCAGAATCACAGAAGAATATCTAAGCTATCTTTCAGTGTGTTAGCCAACTCAAATTTCAAGTTAAATTAGTTGCTCTGGAGGGGAAAAAAAACCCTTATCTATAATATTTTCTGCAATCTGTGTCTCAACTCAGAACTCCTCAAGAGGACCACAAGACTTCAGAGCAAGCTCTTCGCAAAGTTGATGTATTTTATGTACCTTCCTCCTGCATGCAGGCTAAGGAACTCAGCTGGAGGCAGTGGTAGGTCAGAGCTTGAGGTCAGGTTCTTGAATTATGGCCTGGTCTCAGTGATTACTTAATGCTGTGCCTTTGCAGGTAGAAGTTACACAAACGGAAAAAAAAGGAAAAGATCTGAAAGTGGTGGGCTCTCTGTCCTTCTCATATAGGAAAAGTCCTAGCTCTGTGACCAGGCTTGAACTGGGATGTTACACGAGTACTGGTCTGGGAGAGAACACTTGTCATCTTGCTAGACCCCGCCTAAACCAAGTAAAAGGACTTGTTTTTAAGCATCCTCAAGTCCAAAACTCTATACCTTCCTTCAGAAGAGGTGCTTGGTGGTGTCAACGAGCTCATGGTGCCCATTTGACTGAGATGGAGCGGGCCACACCCAAGGCTGGTGTGCACCACTGGACATGCCTTCGCTGAAGCTGTGGAGATGAGGAGGCTCAGCAGTGAGCACACTTCACCATCTTGTCGAAGAGCTTTATCTTTTATTGCTTGTACAGGATCAAGCACTTTCGCTTCAACAGGAGATTACTTCTGTTTGAAGCCTTAACCATACACTGTAACGCTTAGATATAAAAAGGCATGGAAGGCAAAGCATAGAGGAATTAAATGATATATTATATATGCATGCAACAGATTGAACCTAGCGCAAGCCCCATGTTAGCTGTGAATATCTGTTCCACTTCACGAGAGCGCTTGCCTTTATTTATCACTGTTTTCTAGTGGTATCAATGGGGTTTGTGCATACTGTCTGGAAGAGAACTGAATTCTGCCGCCTTTTCTTAGGCAAAACCCCCAGTCAGGAACAAAGGTTCTGATGACAGTCAGATAAATGTCTCTATTCACGAGCACTCTTTACAGGTGACTGTTTATGTATTAGAGATGCAAATGATGGTTTTGTTTCAAATGAGGTAAATCTAAGATTAAACTCCCATCGAAGAGTAAATGTTCCCTTTACCTTTCATGTGTAGTAGCTTGAAAGAGCCTACACAACAATAAATTGCATTACAGAAGCTCCCACTGACACAACCATATGTTAGCAGTCTCTGTTTTGAAGGGTTACAGCTCCGCTGTAAGAATTTGCTGTGGGCTGAAATTTGGCAGTCTCTGCTTAGTAGTTAGATTTTAAACCGGAGCTACAAATGCATACCAATTCCTTGCAAGTCATCTCAAAAATCGCAGAGGAGGAGGGGGGGGCGGGAAGGCCAAGCTCGTTGAATTTAAGTTTGGCGCTTATATGACTAAGACCCGTCACCAACGTGGTGAAATGAAAATGTGTGTGGTGCTAACACCCGGTCTGAGCGCTTCTTCCCTTGAGGAGAATTTTAAAAAATAAGCTGCAAACCACAAGGAGGGAAAGAGCTGCCTTCTGGCACTGCGGCCTCAGCAGGTTGCAGCTCCTGAGGCTGTGGGAAGACAATGACCTGTGGTATTCGGGAACATGATCAGCTTGCAATGAGAGCCCGGCAAAAAGGGGGGGTGAAGAGTGAAAGGCTGAAAGTTGAGGAGCAGACGGTGCTTTTTTTTTTTTTTTTTTTTTTTTTTTCCTTCACATTCCCACTTCTTGGCTGTGAGGAAAATGGAAAGACTTCCTATTGGGAGCAGGTCCCTCTGCTGCCCAACTGCGCTGGGTGGCCACAGGGGAAGGAGGGATGGGACAGAAGTTTGTCATGAGTTAAACAATATAAAGATGCTTAAAAAGAGACAAGAGATGAGCGTCAACATCTGTCTTTACCGCACTCATTATTGTTTTTAGTGCCTGTTTAGGTTGTTGCTGATTCGAGATGAGGAGAGTTCAGCCCCTTCCCCAGAAGAAATTGGCCTCCACTGGAGGTTCCTTTAGTCTAGCTGGATGCTCTTATGAAATCATGGAAGATGGGACTTAAAGGAAGGTCAGAGTGTGTCTGGTCCGCCCCGCTGCTGGATCAGTTTTGAACCTGATCAGTGCAGTGGCCGGTGTGGGTGAGTGTCTGACAGGAAGGCTTTTTTCTTGACAGCCTTCTGAAGACATCAGTTACTGTCACTGAAACGTTCTTTGCGGACACCAAGACAGACCAGCAATAACTTGTATATGAGGCCATTTTGTATATGAATCACAATTCTGGCCGAGTTAGAAAAGAGGTGCTATGTACTCGTGCCTAATTTGGCTTTTAGTGGACACTGGAATGAGTGTCTCTTTCCTCCTCTCTCCCCTGGTCACGTGCCCTGGCGGTAGAGCGTGAAGGACCTTCAATACCATCATGGGCTAGTAGCTACAGAGGTTCGTTTGGAAAGGACTAAGCTTCAGATGAACAATTCAGTACTGCTTTTAGTGTACGAGCAATGTTTTCTTGGTGATCTTAGGGGATGTCGTGGGCTGGATGTACAAGGTGAGGCTGTAAGCACTGTGCAGATAGAAGTGTGCACTCTGGGTGGGAGCTGGGAGGACTCTGAAGGGGACTCACCATGCCACCATGTGACCCCTTCCCCTCACCAGGGTTGTCACCATGCTGTCACTGGAGCTGCTGTGGCCGTTTGCATGTAGGTGTGTCCATGTAGCTGTGATGGTCAACTCTTCAGACTGTCTTCTGGAAGGATGAGCAACCTACCAGTAAAACCCTTTACGAAGAATTCCTTTATCTCAAGGAGAAAAGCTCTGATCTGGGATGCAGCTGGCTATGGTGTGGTCCTTCTGGAGGCAGGGTGGGAGGTGGCTCATCTAGCCTTTGTGGCTGGTGGAGTTGCATAGATTTGCTACAAAACTCTAATTCATCACTGCCACTCTAACGGTGCTTGACAAAATTCAATGACCATATGCGAAGAGATATAAATCATGCTGTTTCCTGGTGGGTAGGCAAATGTAGGAATGTGCTATTTGAAGAGGCTCAGCCAATTTGACAGATTTCTTCTGTAGTTCGTGTGAGTGACTTTTAAAGGTGGGTGAACCTCAGCAGGTTCCAAACACAGCCTGGATTAGAGGGGGGACCGCAATTAAGGCTGTTAGCCCACATCAACTGAGATCACATGTCTGTGTGAACCGCCTCTCATATGAGAACATGGAACTACCTTTCTTGGTCTCATTCCTGCTTTTGGTCCTCAAAATCTGACTGCTTGGTGCCATTTGGATCTTCCTGGCTGGAAGAAGAAGATAAAAACCCTCCAGTATTCTTCAGGCATGTAACCAAGGCAAGCCAATTTCTACATGTGGGGGTTCAATAGTGCACTTCAAGTCAGGAACTGGAGAAAGAGGTGTTTCTAAAATGTATTTCAGGCTCTGGATAGACTGAATTATCCTGTGGAGATGCTCTTTCCTTTCTGCTGGCT